AATTTCTTTGGCGCAGGGGGACCGAGTGAGTGAGTGAGTGCCTGCCTGCCTGCCTGAGTGTCGCGTCAGGCCCCTGCTCAACAATACAAGGGTGCCACCCGCGGCCGCGGCTGCCGCCCTAACGCACCCCCCTCCCTCTCCTTTATAAAAATGCCTGTCAAAGACGATAAACGAGTAAAACATTTAAAATATGATGCAAAACCACCACAAATAAAACTTAAACCAGAAATTTTCAAACGCAGGTATACTATAGTATTAAATTGGTATCATCTGCTTTTAAGATAGATTCTTGATTTAGATTTTTTTTCAATATTGGCAAAACCTTACGAGTTGAACGGGTGTGAACACTTTTCGTACACTTTCTGAAAAAATAGTACAGGTTTCTAACGCAATTTAAAGGTGCTTCTGTTTCTCAAAATTTGAAAACCCGTACATCGTTGGAAAGCTTCTTCTTTTCCGCTTCGAATGAGCTATAGCGCGTTGTTCTACTTTAAATAGTTCGCCCACAGTAGGCGCACAAAGACACACACTCGGAAAGCAGGAGTGTTCAACTTCTGTTCAAGATAGCGGGAGTTGCCCAATGCCCACGGCGGGATCAGGAGGAATTTCGATATGTTATAATACACACCGAGACCTATCCAACCTTTGCCTTCATTTTTTTTTGAGGTAAGGGCCGTTTTTTATCCATTCTGCCTGGACTATCTTTTTACCGTGCCCCCCTCAAGCGCCCCCACTGAGCGGTCGTGGGGCCTCTTTGGCGCCACGCACACCAAAGTGCGGAACCGACTTTCAAACGCCAGGGTTGAGAAAATGGTGGCAGTTCAGATGAATATGCGTTATGTCCTACCACCTGAATTGTTACCAAAGCCCAAAAGGAAGCCTAGAACTGGACCACCTTTTCGCCGACCGGAAAATCCGGATGCCTTGCAAGTAGACCAATTTTATACTAATTATTACTATTTTTTTTTTTAAATTATTACTCTACCAATTTTATAATAACCAATTTTTCCAATTTTCCCGAAAAAAAATGGAAAAAAGTCCGATTTTTTTCCATCAATGTTATTTTTCCGGTAAACTACGAACCCTAGTTATACCACGTCCTTGCGTAGTGATGCCCCCAATCGTCTTCATATTCTTCATCAAATCCATTTCAATAGTCCGGTCAGGGAAGTTGCCCGCCCACAGTTAATTCAACTTCCGCACAGAAAGGAACCCCTGATCAGATCAAACAACCGCTCTCTCTCGGCAGGCGGCAGAGACGACTCAGCGACGAGCATTTGTTGCAGATACAAATGGGTAGACGTTGTATAGTTTAAATGTCCTGCAGCGTTAAGTACGGCAGCATTTCCTTTACGGTCTGCAGATGAAGTCTCCAGTCACCAACTCGTTCCGCGCGGATCAGCAGGCGGATCAACTCTACCTGTCACACATACTGCACCCAAAGCTTCCCTGTTCTGGTCGCCTCCAAATTGTGCAGCGTTTCGTCGAGTTTTTCTCGAGCGCAAAGTAGAAGTTCGTTTCCTTCTGGGGCCGAGACTTCTTTACGATGCACTGCAAGACACTGCTCGAGCAAATCTCTGCGCATCGACGTGAAACCTGGGTCGTCAAGCAATTGCTTGAACACAATACTAAGAATAGCGGTCTGTGTTGTGTTAAAAAAGTGCGCCCGCACAGCACGAGAGAAGCCCTTCCCGGAACACAGATGTGGAATAGAGTTCTTGGCGTAGACACTAGCCCACAATTCTTCTAGACCAGTGCCAGCCATGAGGTCGGTGGGAATCATTTGTGCCTCCTGTATTTCGTGCCACCTCCATGAAAGACAGATGTTTGTTTTTCAAAAACATATTTGTTGGTATTTTTTGTGCCACCTATTTTCTCTGCCACCTCTCAAAATTGGTTTTTCAGTTTCGTTTTTTGCGCCGTGTTTTTCTGTGTGTTTTTTGTACCACCTGCATTTCCTGCCACCTCCAAAAAGCATATTTTTCTATGTTTTAGAAAAAAGAAAAATGTCTGTGTATTTTATGCCACCTGTATTTTGTGCCACCCTCGAGCCCCGGTGTTAATTCGTCCCACCTGCATTCTGTCCCACCAAAAAAAAAAAACAAAAAAAAATTGAAAAAAAAGTTTAAGAAAAAAAACCGAAAGCGCGTTTCAATTTGCCACAGTCAGAAAGGTGGGTGACAACCAGTCTCTTCTGTGTCGGGCACGTCTACGTTTTTCAATGCAAGTCACACACTTCCATCGTTTAGTACCACCCCGACCCTGACATAGTAAGCAATTTTTAACTGATTAAGCTAAAAGCGCCACCAGGGCAAAGGGTAATCTACCACACCGTTCACCAGACTGGGCCCCGTTCCGTTGCCCAGTGGTGTTGGTTGATCGGTCATTTAAGCCCTACATGACAGCCTCCTCCGGGACGGACCCCACCCAGGTTAATGCATCGAGCTTTTTTTTCCGATAGCACATAGCGAGCGTAGATGTATGTGTGTGTGTGTGTGTGTGTGCGTGTGTGTTGTACTCTCGATACATTGCGCGAGTGCGTCACGCGCGGATATCGCATCGTGGTGCATCGCATCGGGTACAGTGTGGTCGGAAGGAGCGCTGTGCGGGTAGGCAACCGCCCGCACCGGTCGGGGTGGACACCGCGGGCCCCTTCCCCCACACGCCTCGTGGCAACCGTTACCTCCTGGTTGCCGTGGACTACTTCACGAGGTGGCCCGAGGCCATCCCCATCCCCAGCGTGCATGCGGACGTTGTCGCGCGCGCCCTCGTGGACAACATCTTCAGTCGGTTCGGGATGCCCTGTGAGCTGCACTCGGACCGAGGCACCACGTTCGAGTCCCAGGTGTTCCAAGGCGTGATGGAGCTCCTTGGCGTGCGCAAGACCCGGACAACCCCACGTCGACCCCAGTCTAACGGAGCGGCGGAGCGCCTCATCCGTTCGGTAACCGAGCACCTCGCCATCGCCATGGTTGCCAATAAGTCTAAAACAGACTGGGACTTGCAGACGCCGCTCGTCCTGATGAGTTTCCGAGTTGCACCCCACTTCACAACGGGCGTCTCCCCGGCCATGATGATGTTCGGACGCCAGCTGAACCTGCCACCCGGCCTCGCGAGAGGCTACCACCCGGACACCCCCGCCTGGCCCTCTGCCCAGGCCTACCCTGCCTGGCTTCAGGACCGCCTGCACCACCTCCACCATGAGGTCCAGAACCGTGCCACCGCCGTGGTGCTCAGACAAAAGGAGCGCTACGATGTCCGTGCGAGGCGTCACAGCTACCAGGTCGGTGACCGTGTCTGGCTGTTCGACCCCCAGCGACGTATTGGACGCTGCGTCAAACTACAGTCCTGGTGGACGGGCCCGCACGTCATCCTGGACATCTTCAACGACGTGACGGCCCGCTTGCAACTTGCTGGCTCGCGGTCCCGCCCTCGGACCTACCACGTCGACAAGCTAGCCCCGTACATCACCCGCTGAGCTTTTCGAGGAAGGGGGTGGTGTAAAGGAAATCGCTACCCCCCGCTCCCCCCTACCCGGCTATACCCCGCGACCGCCCAATTGTACGCGTGCGCCGCGGTTTCCTTAGTAACCGGTCGCTATTGTCGGCTGGTCCGCCCTGTACTCACTCTATCCCTGGCTCCCCGCAAATACAGACGTGCTACCTCTGACTTCGTGCTCCTGTTCCCTTCCTCCCCCATCCTTGACAACAGATGTAGAGATCTACGGTGTGGGAGTGTGGAGGGGATTCTCAGGAAATAAGCAGGGAGTCACGAGGGCACAGCACGTCTAATTCAAGCAAGAGGCAGAGGACAAGTCTCGAGGGGCCGTAGCCAAGGGTTACAACAATAGTGAGCGAGGATCCGCGACAGTGCGAGCGGGAGCTGGGCGCGGCCAGAATCTGACCGCAAGTGACCGTTTCTCTAAACTACCCCCCCTCTCGTGAAAAAAAGGAAGTACAACCAGGGAAAACACTGTGCCAGACGGGGTGGACATTTTTGGATGGTGACCTTGGTACACCAACACAGAGGAAAAGGACGGAGAGCTCATCCTTGAGCACATTGATGCAGGTGAAAGGAAATTTATTCGCGGAGCGAGTTCGCTCGTGGCAGTGAGCGGACTCGGCAAAGCGCTACTCATTGGGTCGCACAAAATTTTGTCTGTGAGAAACGGTCAAACACATAATGTCCAAGACTAATTTCAGTCAAGTACAAAAAGTCCACGACAAAAATCAGACATCTACAGTTTTGTCTGTGAGAAACGCTGTCAAGGACAAAATCTTCTATGCCTGTACAAACCGCTGTCAAGGACAAAAAGTCCAAGACAAAAATCAGGCATATATAATTTTGTCTGTGAGAAACGCTGTCAAGGAGAACAAGTCCGAGACAAGTTCAGTCATCTTCTGCAAACTGTGAAAAACGCTGTCATAACACTGTCCGAGACAAATGTCCAGGACAAATAGCATAAATATAGGTTTTGTGCGTTCGTAACGAGGTCCAAGACAAACATCCAGGACAAACAGCATAGATATGTTTTGTCTGTTCGAAACGGAATTTAGTCTGTGAAAAACAATCAAAAATATAATGTCCAAGACAAATCTCGGTCAAGGACAAACAAGTCCAAGACAAAAATCAGCCATCTATAGTTTTATATGTGAGAAACGCTGTCAAAGACAAATGCTCCTATGCCTGTGCAAAACGCTGTCAAGAACAAAAAGTCCAAGACAAAAATCAGCCACATCTAATTTTGTCTGTGAGAAACGCTGTCAAGGACAACAAGTCCGAGACAAGATGAGTCATCTACTGTCAACGCTACTGAAACGCTGTCATAACACTGCCCAGGACACTACCCCCTCCCCTCTCGCCCCCCGCGCGGCAGAGGGGGCAAGACACGGCGCGCCGGCGTCAGTCGTTCGCCAGAGCTTGCAGTGTGAAGTGTCTGGAGTGACGTGCCGCCCCACCGCCATTTGAAGGCCGATCTCTATCTATCCGACGAAGATACCATGGAGCCCCTTATCTTGAGCCAGGAGTCGCAGGACTCCCGCTTCGACCTGCAGCTGCACCCCTCGGGGCTGTTGTATGATGAGGTAAGTGCAAGTGATTGATCTGCGCGCCAAATCTTTGTTGCATCATCCTATGATTTCACGCCATGTTGTCCCCCCTTGCGTCTCCCACCGTAATTTTACGCTTTCTTGTGTTGATCGCGAGTGTTCTTTCATTCATTAAAACCGCGAGTAAGCTTGGGTCCTGCCGGCTCACGCCAGTTGAGGTTAGGAATTCTTTGTCTCCCCGCCGGCGTCGTGCTTGCCACTCGTCGGCGACAGTGTTTGGTCACGGCGTGTCCTGTCTTTGTAAATTCAGTGTTCAATCGAGTGTCTTGCCTGACGAGCTCAGCTCGGCGCGCTCGTTGTTGCCGCCTCGTGTGCCGCTCGCGGCCGCGGATTGGTGTAAGCCGGCCGGAAATTTGTTCGTGTCTCTCATTATGTTTCTCACGCACTGCTTCTGAGGTTATGCCTTTGCCAATTTTACTGAGCCTTTGACCATTTACTTCTTAATCGTCACGATTTCTTTTTCACGACGCCGATGGCGTCCCCTCGGTCGGTGCGCGGGGATTCCTGGAAATGGGATGGTGGTGGGGAGGCTCTCGCTGCTCAGCGCGCTGTCTCTCTCGCACTCGCGACACAAAGTAACGATGTTTTCTCCTACAGTCGTCTTGCGAGCCACCCATTGGCGAGGACGCCCCCGTCAGCGAGGCCCCCGCCAGCGAGGCCCCCGCCAGCGAGGCCCCCGCCAGCGAGGCCCCCGCCAGTGTGGCCCCCGCCAGCGTGCCCCCCGCCAGCGAGGCCCCCGGCGAGGAGGCGGCTGCCGATGAGGAGGGGTGCAAGAAGCCGACCCCACACCCGCTCTCCCTCCCAGACCTCCTCTCGGACGAGGCATGCGACGGGGTGAGTAAATCGGCGCATTTTAAGAGCTAGAGGTCAAACCCGATTTTTAACTAATTCTTTTTTGTTATAGTTTGTGGACGAAGTAGTTTCGACGGCCTCGGGTCGACGCAGAGTAGCTCACAAGCGCGCCGAGTCCGTTGCCGAGCCTCCCGGAATCGTAAGTTGATCAATTGACATCTTTCATTTAAAGTAAACATTAGACGTTGCGTCTTACTTTCGTGTTTAACGTTGCAGTCAGCCCTCTCTCCCCGACGGTTGGGACCGAAAACGAAGTTTGACCCCGCGCAGGAGGCCGTCGCCATGGCCCCCTACACCCCGCGCGCTGAGACCCGGGCCACGGCTCAACCCCAGCCCGCTGGCCACCGCAGTGTCCAACCCTCAGACCCAACAGTGGATCGGGCCCGCCAGCAGGCGCCCAAGGCTCACCCCTCCTAAGAGCCTTGTACGTGGCCGACGTGGTGGAGGCCAGTTCCCAAGGCGTCATCGCTTTCGTAACGGGGGAAGATGTCCTGGATGGCTGGCCAAGGTGCAAGGGGGCGCCGCCGCCGTTCCCATGGTGATGGTGCCCGACAGGAAGAACTGACTGCCACTGACGACGCCAACAGCGTCAAGACGGAGCTAGGCCTCCGCTTTGACAAAGTAAGGCCTATCAGCCAGTCTTCCCATCCTTTGTACACCGTTTTCAAATCATGTTGACCATGTGGCCTGGCCACACTGAAGTCAGCTTCACCAAAACAGTTGCCGACGTGCTGAAGGCCGGTTCCCACTGTGTCATCGGTACCGTGACGGCGGCCGATATCCTGGGACTCAGCGCCCTTAGAGTACTTGAAGCTGATCTCAAAAGTAAAGTACAACAGGGCGTCTAATGGACACCGTTTTCAAACCACCTTTACCCTAAGAGAAAATAGACGTCTATAGATTTCGATAGATCGTCTAATGCCCGTCGACTCAACGCATCAGGAGCTTGCATTGCAGAGCCCTTCCGGTGAGTAATTTTCATGTTGTACTGTTGCAGATGAACTGCCCAGCGAGCTAATCTTCCTGTGGAATTTTTAAGTTTGTGCAACCAAAGTAAGGCATTATGATCAGTGATGACTTCGAATTTGGAGCGCTCAATAAAAGGCCCTAACGCTTCCACAGCATGAAGCACTGCCAAACATTCAAGTTCTGTTGCTGAAAAATTTCTCTCTCTTGCATTCAGAGTCTTACTAGTGTAAGCCACAACATGTTCACCATCAGGAAAAGCTTGAACTAGATTACCACCAGTACCAACCGAGGATCCATCACAATAAATCTTGAATGGTAAGTCAAAATCAGGATTCCGAAGAACAGGAGTTTTGCACAAAGCTTCCTTTAACTTGACAAACGCTGTGTCCTCTTCAGGCCCCCAGATGAAAGACTTGTTCTTTTGTAGCATGTCAACCAGTGGTCGGGCAACTGAACTGAAATTGGGAATAAATCGCCTCATCCAGCCAGCAAGCCCCAAGAACTGTTGAATGTTCTTGACTTTCGTTGGAACAGGGAAATTGATTACTGCAGAGATCTTGCTAGGATCAGGACGAACTCCATAGGAATCGACGACGTGTCCCAGGTATTTGATACTTTTACGAGCAAACATACTTTTATCCAGATTTACAGTAATTCCTGCATCACACAATTTCTGAAATATCTTCCGAAGCAAAGATACATGATGATTCCAATCACCATTAGGTGACCAAGCAATAATGTCATCCATGTAAACCATACAATGTCAATAATATCAACTGTAGCACTTGAGACTTCAACAGTACAAGTCACAAAATCGGGACGAAGATGGTAGCGCCGCCAGAAATCAAGACCAAGAATCAAAGAACTACTGAGTCGAGGGGCAAACAGTACTGGGACTAATCTTATTATGCCATTCACATCAAAAGGTACTTGATATTCACTTTCAATAGAAGATTCGCCTTGGTCAGCGACACGAAGCATACCATATCTGGAGGGTTGAGAGCGAAGTCCAGCAGCCTCAAGTATCTTCATTCCTTTCACACCAACAAGTGTTTTGGCAGAGCCAGAGTCAAGCAAGCCAAAGAGAGGAAGTCCCAAAACAGTCACAGGTAAGTATCCTCGATTATCCTTGCCAAGTGAGATGCTTAAAGTCATTTTTTTGTTACAGGTGGTTTCGCGGAATTCTGAGGTTTTTCGGAGTTCTTGGTGGCTGAAGGTCTGATGACGGGTGGAGGAATCGAAAACGGAGACCATGTTCCCCCGGCTGCCATGTCCCCTCGTAAGTTTTCCGGCATTGGAGGCCTGTTCCAGTTCACACCAGCGAAATAACATCTGTCACAAAGCTCTCTTCCAACTCGACCACAACCTTTACACAGAGCGAGATAACACTCATGTTCCAGATGGTCAGTGCCATTACACCTGTGGCAACGCAAGTTACCTCTTCCAGTAGCACTCTTTGACTTTTCAATGTCAGGTTTCTCAGTACTGTCACTACCCTCACAATCCACTGTTGCTACCTTGACTTTACGAAAATCTCTTCTGTCTTCCTTTTCATCTTTCTTTCTTTCCTTTCGCCTCTCTTCATTCTCTTGTTTCTGTATTTGAGCCTTATCTTTCTCTAAATTTCTGCATTCTTCCCTGAGTTCTCGAAGGGAAGACACGCTATGAGAAGCGTATCTGACAGATCAAAGGCATGCTCACTTTTACTTTCATTCTCTGAATTTTCATTTTCTTCTGACCCATCAGATTCATGAGATTCATGAGGCTGCTGAGCTTTGCTTTCATCATCATCAGAATTTGCACTTCTTTCTGACAGAGTTGTCTGTGAATTGTCTTTCTCAGATTCATTAGTCTCGACAAATGCTACAAAGTAAGAGAGGGGATTAGCTTTCATTTTTCATGATCAACTTTTAAAATTTTGAAAAGTTTTGGATTGGAGACACTTACAAGTTTTAGAAATGTAATGTCCAAAACGAACATCTTTGGCTCCACAGTGAGAGCAAGACTCCCATCTGAAGTAGCTCTGATTTTTTTTGCAGCGGTCCATGCAAGTATAGTAGTACCGTCCTTGATTCCTGCCTTGTTTTTCCGTAATGTTCCTGAAATGTTCAATGGTATCAGTACCTTGGTGAAATATTCATTTACAGCAGAATCCAGAGTAGAGATCTTGTAATTACCTAGGTGCAGGACCCTTACAATCTGGGCAAGAACGTGGTTCAAAGTTATCTGAAATATTAGAAATTGTTAGTGATATTTAAAGAGTAATAAACAGAATCCAGGTTTTATCGAGCAAATTCTTGTTTTTCAACTGATTGAAAATGTGTGTACGCAACATGCATAAGAGAACTCTGCTCTTACCTTCACACTGATTTGAAGTTTGTTCCAAATCTATTATTTTAATTGATTCTTGTTTCTCAGGTTCAGAAGCACCAGAAATTAAGTCACCGGTTTCATCATCTGCTCCTCCTGTGCCAATATTAGCCATATTCGCTAGGAAAAATATACAACAAAACTTAGGATGAAATTTATATGAGTGCGCCTATTATTAATATGTTAATGAAAGTAGAAAAACTTACAATCCACTGTCCCATCAGCATTCATAGGAAGAACCATGATTTTCCTCCCGGACATCCAATATTTGAGAATCTTTTCAAGTTCTAATACTCGTTTTGCTTTTTGGTTACCTCCACATTTTGACAAAAGGTCTGAAATATCAGTAAGTAGCTTGAGAGTGTCTTTGTACTTCTTGACCTTATCCTGTACATGAGGACCACGAGGGGTTACTCTCATGTGTGAAGAGCTCTCAAGGGCTGTGTTGACATCAGAACTGACATGAATGTCATCAGCTTGAGGCTGCTGGATCGCTGTGATTGCCAGACTACGATTCAGCCACCTGACAGGTATAACTGACTTCTTCATTAATTCTTCACCTGAGAACAGCATTTAGAAGTAGTACATCAGTGAAACTAACAATTCAGTCATGAAACAGTATTTCTAAAAGTAATTGTCAAAAATATGATGTAAATACCTGCTTCAATTCTGTATTTAAAAATGTGTTGACAGTGTTCCATGCCAAACATCTTGAAAAAATTACAAGAGCAGTTCTCAGCAATGCTTTTTGATAGCTCTAGCTTATAGCTTAATTTTAACTCACTGAGGAGAAGGCTAGCGCCCCAGTCAGATACTGTGTTCAAGATAACCTGAACATTTTGATCCTTGGATCGTGCCACATAAGACTTTTTAGCCAACTCCAAGAAGTCCTTATAACTACTTTCGAACTCTCTTGAGGAATGGAGTCGCAGCAGTTCTCGAATACAGTCACCCAATATACTGGTTCTTATGATAACCTTCTTAATTTTGTCATTGTGACTTTCCACATGGTTGGTGGACCTTGCACCTAAAGAAAGTGATTCATTTCTGACATGGAGTACCCAGGCAGATTCAATATTGAGCCAATTGTCATCAAAGTACTTCTTAAAATTTGCAGAGGCAATTTTGCACAATTCAACATAAATTTCAGAAAACTCTTTAGGGCTTTCTGCCACACACATATCATTTAGAAGTTTAAGAATATGCTTCTCATTCTCTTCTCCTTTCACTTTTCTGGAGAAAATTCGTTTCACATGTGTGTGACACAGATGAACTTTCACATGTGGGAGAACTTGGTGCAGCCAAGAGATCTCTTTGTAATCTTTATCTACGATGACAGTCTTTACTTCAGGTGCAACATCAGGATTTAATGCCACAAAGGCCCGCATTGAAGACTCAAGAATGTCTTTAGTCTCTCGTCTTAGAAAAGTATATGAGACCCTTCACCCCATCTTGGTTCAAGGTCCCCGATGATTGTTGGTGGCTCCCGCTCACTTTCCACTTTGTACCTCTCGAGTTCTTCTCTGAGGGCCCTGGCCAGTATCTGGTTTTCCTCATCAATTTGACGGACTGCTCGCATCATTTCAATGATGTGGGGGATTGCCCTGTTGCGCTCCTTGGCCTCTTTCTCCATGGCGTACCTTGCTATAGGAGACACGCCCTCCCACATGTTCCATTGAATGTACCTGGGTTCGGCGGGCTCTTCAGCTGGCTCTGCAGCAGCTACGGTCTCGGTTGGTGGGTGCTCAGGTACTGAGTCCACTACCGTTTGAGAGGCAGGTCCTGCTTCCGCAGGTGTTGCAGGGAGGTCCTCGGTCACGATTCCAGGTGGCTGCCTCGACTTCCTCACCTTGGTGGGATTTGAACATTCAGCCCTGCGGTGGCCGAGGCACAGTCAATAGGTCGAGAAAGTTGCGTGCCACGAATATTCCATGTGTTCAGCACTGCAAGCGGGAGGTTATGCACACAGCGGTGCACAGCATAAAATAGCAACACACGGAAAATAATGAGTTTGTCATCGCAACCGATAATCTGTTGCCTCAACTGACAAATCGGTTATACGCGTGATGACTGACGGAATTCGTCGTCGCAATGGGTATTTCGGTTCCGACAACCGACGTTTTGTTTAACAAACCCAAGAAAATTTCGGTTGCAGAATCAAACCTCTGTGAGCTTGAGCGAGTAAGTCGGGTTTATTCTCGAAACAGAATTCTTCGTTCCTACACAGAATATCTTTAGTCCCCACAGTTATTTCGTGTGAGTTGCAGAAAGTAGGTTGTTGTAACTAACAAATCGTGCGCAGCAATCAACACAGTAAGTTCTGGGCACTCGCCTAGCATTGAGTGCCCTACCAAACAAAATTCGTTTCGACAGTTCTGATATTTGTTGCTAAATAGTAAGGGCTTTAGTCGCAGCTGCTCCCAAATTTCGTCTTGGATGGTTTGGTGGGATGTAACTTTAAATTTTAACGTTTATTCTCTGTAAGGTCGCCGTTGAGCACCGACAGACATTTCGCTGACCGATTGCGAGAAGCGAGAATTTCGTCCCGTGCAGTAACGGAGGTGGCCCAGCTTAGCCTCTATTACGACTGTCGGTCGCTGGACCGCCCGCGCAAAGACTGCGCTCAGAGTTGCTGAAGCGCCATCAAACGGAGAGGCATCTTTCGCGCTGCCGATAGAGTGCGCTTCAAGGATCTGAGAACAAAATTTTGCGCGGGTGGTCTCGGCAGTACCAGTTGAGTGATACAGTATGAGATTCCGCTCCAATGTCAGAGGTTATGCTGTTTGCTACACGGGCGTGGACCACGACAAAGGTACTGTCGTGTATCGATCCTGACTTTCGATACTCTCTATGTGAACCTGTATGTAACTGCCTGTGAATAAGAATAAACCAGTCTTCAGTCGGAAACCAGTTGTGACGTTACTCTCTGCCCGAACCAAGTCTCTCCCTGTCAACTGTCAGAGACACCAATGTGGCGACGAGGATACAACACGTGGTCGGAGAGGTTACGTCTAGTCAAGTCAATCGTCAAAGTCAATCGTCTAGTCAAGAAAAATCATCTAGTCAATCGTCAAGTGAACCTTCTAGTCAATCTTTTAGTCAGCATGGCAGCACCAGCATTCAACATTCCACTGCTCAGGAGCTTCGACCCTGCGGAGATTTCCGTCACCGGTTGGGTACAGCTCTTCGACGGGTACTGCACCCTTGTGAGAATGCCTGGTGAAGTTATCAACGAGAATGGTGTGATTCCACCCAACGCAAGAAGAACCCTCTTCATTCAATGCCTGGCTAATGCGCCATTTGAATGCCTTCGTAAGGCCTGTCTGCCGAATACGCCTCAATTTTTTCCAATTCCAGCGCTCATCCGGCTGCTTCGCCAGAAGTACGAGCCCCATGGACTTGTGTCTACCAACCGGCTCCAGTTCAACCGGCGAGTGCAGCTTCAAACGGAATCAGCAACGGATTACATCACGGCTCTTCAGGTCCTTGCCGACAGGTGTGAGTACGGTTTGCACTACCCTGAAGCTCTTCGAGATCAGTTGATCGGCGGCGTGCGCTCCAACGAGCTGCGTCTAATTCTGCTCAAAGCCAACAACCTCACGTTTTTCCAAGCGAAGGAGCTTTGTGAGAAAGATGATGCCCTTCGTAATGAGGTGCGTCTCATGGCTGAGCACATGGTTGGTCTCAACGCAGCTTCTTATCAACCTTAACAACCTTCTCAGAAGTTCAAGCCGTTCACTTACAGAAGAGAAACTCCACATGGTTCTAATGGCAGTTACAAGAAGCAAAATCATGAACAACCCCGCTCTACCTGGAATCCATGCTTCAGATGTTCTCGTAAACACGATGGATGGAACTGCCCTGTCAAGGATTGGGAATGCCACAAGTGTCACAAGAAAGGCCACATCTCAAAATGCTGTCCTCAGCGTTTGGTCAAGGTGGTTGAGCCACAGGTACCAGTTGTACCTCCGACGGCTGAACCTCCTCTGTCTCATCTTGGTCAGCAACCTCCACTTTCTTCCATTGAGGAAGAAGTTGAAAGACTCTTCCGTGTCTCCAAGGTATAGTCAATCTCTTATGTCACCTTTAAAACTAGCTATATGTACGCCAGACCACGTCTCGCGTAACAGGCTTCGCGATATCTCACGAAACACTGTTACGCTGCGACGCGCCTGGCGCACATATAGCTGGGCCTGCGGCGCTGACACCCGAGACGAGTGAATGGGAGTGTATACACATTTTTTTTTATATAGAGCCTTTTTACGGTTTAATAGACCATTTAGCCATTTTCACCACATTTTTGTCCAGAGATGCCCCCTAGCACCCAAACGGTACAAGATAGAGCAAAACGGACGAAATTTTCGTCTGAGGAATCTACTTTCACGAGTTATCCCTTGAAAGCCCTTAAAAAAAATATTTGAAAATAAAAATTTTGCGACCTGCGGTTTTTGATTTTTTAAAAAGTCAATTTTTGAGCTACAATGCTCATCTTCGAACTCGATCTGTCTTTTTCTGAAACAAAACGACCCTAAAATTCCTAAATCGCTATCTCAATCCATTCTTGAGTTATCGTGCGGACAGACGGACAAACAAACACACAAACAAACACACAAACAGAATGAAACTTTTTCGGTCAGTGGAGTAATGGGCTTCGCTAATCGCTCAGCCAATGAAAATAATGTCTGAGCTCTATCTTTTGCCTTGTGCAAAGTCTTCTGTCTACCGGTAGTCTGTCTTTCGAAAAAAAAAAAAGAAAAAAAAGAGGCTGTCTGTGATCACTGTCTTGCCTTACTGTCTTGTTTTTAAGTTATTTTTAAGTTAGTCCTATGAGTTTGTTAACGTTTGTCTAGTTTCTAGGAGCCAGTACAAGTAATCTTTCTGGATCATGTCAGTCAAAGTCCACCAGTATTAGTCAGATTGTCTGTCAATGGAAGTGAGTCGGAGATGGAAGTCGACACAGGTGCTGGAGTTACAGTTGTGAGTTATGCTGTCTATTCAAAATTTCTTAAATCATACTTCCTGTCTCCTTCACCTTTTGTATTGAATTCACTTTCCGGTTCAATCAAAGTCTTTGGACAATTGTCTGTCTCTGTCGCACTTCCATCCCAGCCTCCAGCTCAACTTATTATTGTTGTCTGTGATACTGTTGCTCCTGTCAGGTCTCTGTTGGGTGGACCTTGGTTAGATGTCTTATTTAAGGATTGGAGGATAGTCTTTCTTCCAGCTAACGTAATTTCATCTGTCTCCGACAGAGTGCAGCAATTGCAGCACATGTTTCCTAAAGTTTTTGACTCCTTAAATGATGATCCAATTACGCCATTCAAGGCTAAGTTGCTTTTTAAACACAATGTCAAGGACATTTTTGCTCCAGCTTATTCACTTCCTTATTCATTAGTAGATGTCATAGATTCATTAATTGAAAAATTAGTGTCTTCCAACAAAGTCTTCCCAGTAACGTATTCGAAAAATGCATCCCCTTGTGTTCCAATCAAAAAGGAAAGATGGGTCCTATAGGCTCTGTGTTGACTTTAAACGCACCCTCAACACCCAATTAAAGGTTCAACAACACCCTTTTCCTAGGATTGATGACATCTTTGCTTCCTTAGCAGATGCTTCAGTGTTCACTGTAATTGATCTTTCTGATGCATATCTCCAGTTGGAGTTGGATGAAGCCTCCAAAAAATACGTTACTGCGAACACTCATCAAGGCTTGTATAGATATAATAGATTAGTTTATGGCATTGCTAGTGCCCCTGCAATTTTCCAACAGGTGATGGACTGTATCTTAAAATGTATTCCTGGTGTAAAATGTTATTTAGATGACACTTTAGTCTGTGGTTCATCCTTGTCTGAATGCTTTGAAAGAACATCCTTAGTCCTTAGAAGGCTGTCAGCTCACAACGTTCAAGTCAATCTTCCAAAATGTCAGTGGTTCGTAAATCAAGTTGAGTATTTAGGTAACATCATTTCAAAAGAATGCAGAAAACCATCACCTGACGAAATCCAAGCTGTTCTTAAAGCTAGGGTCCCTACGACCAAAAAGCAGGTCTTGTCTTTTCTTGGTCTATTTTCTTACTATTTGCCATTCTTACCTAACTTTAGTGCCATTTCAAAACCACTCAGACTCCTTTCTGATCCAATTGTTTGGGATGCCAGTGCTCAATCTTCTTTTGATGAATGCAAAAAGTTGTTCCTTACCAGTGGTGTTTTAGTCCACTACAACCCTGAGCTACCAATAGTTGTCCTGTCAGATGCCAGTCCTGATGGTCTAGGTGCCATACTCTGTCACAAAGTAGGTAATACTGAACGTCCTGTTGCCTTTGCTTCTTGTGCTTTAACCCCTTGTCAGCAAAATTATGCCCAAATAGACCGTGAAGCTCTTGGTATCATGTTTGCCATTAACAAATTTCATAAATTTATCTGGGGACGTCAATTCACTTTGGTCACTGACAATGCTCCATTAAGACATATCTTGAGTCCCGATAAATCTATCCCTGTTTTGTCAGCCCAACGACTTCAACATTGGTCGTATATCCTTCAAGCCTATAACTTTAAAATTGAGCAAAGAAAGGCTGAGCTTATGTCCCATGTAGATGCGCTGTCAAGAGTTCCACCACCTACTGAATTTTTTGATGACATTGCCTTACATTCTAACTTCTCGGAAGCATTCGAAATTTCATCTATAGCTAGTGATTTGCCCTTAAATTCGTCAGTCATAGCTGAGGAAACAAAAAGGGATCCTGACCTGTCTAAACTTTCACTTCAATGTAAAGTAGGCTGGCCTGATTGGAATCGATTTTTAGATCCTTTGGTCAAACCCTTTTTTAAGTTGCGTGAGTAATTGTCTCCGGAAAAAGGTTGTGTGCTGTATGCTTCCCGAGTTGTAATTCCGAAAAGTCTATTAAAACAAGTTATTGAAATCCTCCATGAAGTTCATGCGGGTATAGTGCGCATGAAGATGTTAGCCAGAAGTTCAGTGTGGTGGCCCTCAGTAAATGAAGACTTTGAATCTAGATGTCAGTTGTGTCAACCGTGTTCCCTTGTTAACTTTAAGCGTTCACATGATTACGTCCCTTGGCCTGAAGCTAAAGAACCAATGCAAAGAGTCCATGTTGACTTCTACACCTTTAAAGGCATTCATTTCTTCCTTTTTGCTGACTCTTTTTCTAAGTGGATCCATGTGCAACGTATGGTTCGTACTACTGCGGCTGATGTTATCTCTGTCTTGTCTACTATTTTTGCCATTTGGGGTGATCCTCAAACCCTGGAATCAGACAATGGTCCCCCATTTGATAGTTTTGATTTAATTGATTTCTGTACTGCTAGAGACATCATTTTAACCCATTCACCTGCTTATCATCCAGAAAGTAACGGCTTTGCCCAGAGATCTGTCCAGATTGCCAAAAAATCCATTGAAAACATGTTTTTAGAATTCCAAGCCATAGATCCCACTCACCTTCAAGTTTTCCCTATTGATGTCTGTGATAAATTAGTCAACAAGTTTTTATCTACTTATAGAAATACCCCAACTACTACAACTCTTAGGTCTCCAAATGATGTTTTATTAAATTTTAAACCAAATAGTAGTTTGTCACGTGTGTTGCCGAAAGTTCTCAAGTCTAATGTCCAAAAGTTCCGTGACGGGGAGGCGGTGCTTGTCAAGCTACAAAAGAGATCACCTCCAATTAAAGGTTATGTGGTTCGCAGTCTGGGCCCGATTCGTTATCTTGCTTCCTTTGAAGGAGTAATTCGTGGACCTCACACCAATCAGATGGAACGGTGTCTCCACTAATGTGCTGTTATGATTTAACAAAATATATGTACCTGTTATCTAGAAACTTCAAGACTGTCAGTTGTGTTATGTAGTTTTTAATCTTAGTTTTAAATACAATGCATTGTTTTAGTCTGTAAGTTTTAGTGTCTTCTGCTTCACCCTTGGGGGGGGGGGGGGATGTCGTGTATTGATCCTGACTTTCGATACTCTCTCTATGTGAACCTGTATAAAACTGCCTGTGAATAAGAATAAACCAGTCTTCAGTCGGAAACCAGTTGTGACGTTACTCTCTGCCCGGACAGCTGTTATGGATAAAGGTATGAATTGATAAAAATAGTTTCTTTTTCAGAGTATTTTTTTTTTAAAGAATAATGCTAATTCAAATTGATATCTAAATTTTTATCACAGAAATTACCACTGAATTACCAGATTCAAGTTTTTTGCAAGAACGTCCAGTATCTCTTGAACTGATAAGCCTTGGTCCTACTTTGAGCCTCCGCCTCAAGTTTTGATCTCGCCTGCAAGTAAAGTGATACTCAATTGTGCTGTTGGAGTAGATACTGTTGTTATGGATAAAGGTGAAAGAGAGACAGTTCACATGGATAATGGCATGAATCAAGTACATTTTTAATTTTCCTTTTCAGAGTAATGTTTTTCTTTGAAACCATTAATTGTAATTTGAATTGACATCTGTATTTTTTATTACAGAAATGTATGCAACAACTTCCTTTTAGACGTGTCTATTACCAAACCAGTACGAATAGAAGGTGGCATATGTTCAAACAGTGGGTTCCAGTGGCTTCAATAATTAGGGGATGAAGAACTCTGCTACAACACTGCGACTTTCAATAGTTAAAACAGATTTCCTTGCCTTGGTCATTTTGAGCCAAACTGTTTTCGGGACAACAAAAAACACCACCGGATGAGAAATGCTGTCCCAACAAAGTTTGCAGGTTCACCGTTATCTCCAGAAAAAATAATCCAACTATTCTCTCTGCGAGGTACATTAATCTTATTTTTATTCTTAATGTTATTTACTCTTATTGCAATTTTTCTATGGATCAACGTAGCAGTAATAATGTCTGTGTGGATTTGGTCCCTTCTTTGGATGTGCAATCAAACATCTGTGGTGACCCTCAAGCCACTCAAACACCCACTAGAGGAGGTTTGGATAATTCATTTCATTTTACAATAATTTCCACATCCAAATGTGTTTTCATAAGAAATACTGATTACAGCATTCTGTTATTTTGAGAACTCTGCACATAATACATCTGTTAGTCTGTGAATTACTTTGCTTGAAGTAATTCAGCCTTTATTACATAAGTAATTTGTTTGTTTTGAACAGAGAAAAGAAGCCATCCTCCTGAAGATGAGGAAATTTTATTTTATCTACATGAGCCTAAAATGATTCGCCAGGAACCACCTCCTACACCATCACTGTAAAAACTGTTCGGATTTTTGCCATACAAGTGTGTAGGAAAAATCCCATACGCGCGTGGGACGTGAAATTTCCTCCACAAGTGTAGGATTTTTCCTATACACGAAATAGTGTATAGGGAAAAACCGATACGTATGTGAAAAATCCCACACTTTTGTGGCAAAATGTCTACGAGTGTTTAGGAATAAATTTTCCCATACAAGTGAGGGAATTTTGCTATTTTTATCTTGAAAATTTCCGACAACGCACTAGTAAATTTACAGTTTATGAGTTTTGGACACATCAATCCTGCTGCTTATCTTAGGTACAATTATTCAGCAGTCTCGTTGTCCTGCTGTGGTCTCAAAGGATGATGTTTGGAGGGTGCTTCTGAAGTTTATCAAAATATTAGGGCACGGAGTTTAAAATATAATACCCGAAATCAAAACATGCATCTAGAAATCCCTTACGCAAAGGGCAGGTGGCTGCTGCCCGCACCTGGCCTCTAAAAATGGCCGGGTGGGGCCGGCCGCGCGGCCTTGGGATCACCCGGGGACGCTACGGCCTCTCTCCCAACAAGTCCCCGTGGTCTAGTGGTCAGCGTGACAGGATCGCATCCCAGAAGTCCGAGGTTCAACTCCCCGTCCGGTAAAGTATTTGGTAATTAGTATTGTGTACATAAACGTGAACTACGAGAAGTGAGGGTGCAGGAAGAGTAGGATCCGAGTCCACAACCCAAAAAATATCATGTTTCTTTTTAAAAATGCGTATGGAAAAAATCCCACACCTGTCAAGGAAATCTGCTGCACTCGTATAGGAAAAATCCCACATATATCAAGGAAATCTGCAGCACACATATGGGATTTTCCCTATACAGCAGTGAAGGAAAAATCCTACAAATGTATATGTAAATAACTTCATATACATTTGTGGGATTTTTCCCACAAATATTTTTTACAGTGATGTACTCCTCGCCGTGAGTGTACTTTAGGTGTACTAAGTGTCAAATCCTTTAGTACCATGGTAAATCCTTTTAAATATATTTTGAAAAATATATTCCATTTGCAGGCCCAATGCAATCAGTTGGGGCTAGAGTCAGGTCGAGGAGCAGAATGAGTAGGAAAGATATAGCCAGAATGTCTGGTGTTGCAACAGTTACAGAGGATGTCAACAAAGTTGCTAAAACAGCCCTCTAGTACAGGCAGATGGCCCGGAAGTTTGAGAGAATCCTTTCTAAAGCTAGGAAGCGATCAGACAGGTATAAGCCTTTTTCAAGGCAAAGACTTTGAAGTTAGTGGAAGACCTTAATATCTCACAAACTACCAGAATGATTGTTCGAAGTTAACTCTGTAACTGGAAAAAAAGATCTAAAGGTAGGAGTTGCACAGTGGATGACAAAATCTTTTGGTTAGCCTTTTACCAACGAAGCCCAAAAGCCTATCAGGTACATCATTTTGCCGTGTGAAAGTACACTCAAAGTTTTGCTCTCACAAATTCTTGTCAAACGTGGAATCATAGCCCCCTGCCTCTCTTTATTGAAGGACATAGTGAAGAATATGAAACCCAAAGATAGGCACTGCACTCTTTTATTTGATGAGATTTTTCTGCGGGGTCACCTTCGATATGTTCCTTTATTAAGACTTGTTCGTGGTTTTGAGGACTATGGTCTTGATGGCAGGACCCATTTAATTGCGGACCATGCATTAGCATTTATGGTTCAAGGTTTGAATGCTCATTGGGTCCTGCCAATTTCTTTTTACTTGGTTAGCAAAACATGCCCCTCTTCAATATTGAAGAAATGTATTAAATCAGTCTTTAGAACCTTGTACGGCATTGGTCTCACTGTGGTTGCTAAAGTTTCTGATCAGGGACCTACAAACCGTAGCACCATCAGGGAATTAAAAGAAGAGAATAGAGACCGTGTTTTCTATTGTGTTGACAATTTGAAAGTGTACCATGTGTGGGATGTTCCTCACCTTATGAAAAGTGTTAGAAATAATTTACTCTCTAGTAATGTAATCTATGCTGGTGGGAAGGTAGCCAAGTGGAGAGATGTAATTGATTATTAAATTTTAGATAATTCACTGTGCAAGATGTCTCCCCTCACAAGTAAACATGTTGACCGTGAAGGCAGAGACAAAATGCGAATCAGTTTGGCATCGCAAGCTTTGGGTAGCAGGACTGCCAATGGGATTTAGCATACTCACCATGTGACTAATGGGGAGAAGCTTCCGTCGTGCATGGACACTGTGGGGTTCATTCGGCTTATGGAGTTGTACTTTGACATTTGTGATGGCCCGCGGGCATCACACTTGGAGCCTCAGAAGACCTCTAGGTGTGATGTGACGGCGGATTCCTTCCATCTGGAGGAGTGGAAGAAAATGCAAGAAAATATGAAGAATTGGATTTTTGAGAGGAAGAAATGTGGTTCCAGACATGTCCCTCAATGCATCAAAGGGTGGATTGAAAATGCCGATGGACTTAAATGTTTATGGCAGGAACTCCAAAATATTGGCTTTAAAACTTTGACGCTTCGTAGCCTGAACCAGGATGCTCTAGAATTTATTTTTTTTTGGTCTGGTCAGGCAGTGTGGTGGATCAAGTTCCGACCTCACTTGTGAACAGTTTGTTGGGGCTGTGAAAACATGCCTCATCAGTAGGTATTCATCAATAAGTAAGGATAAAAACTGCTTAGATGATGGGTCATATTTTCTAAATGATCTGAAAATATCTTTGAATAATGATCCCGCTAACACTGCTCCAGTAAGTGACAATTTACTTCGTGGAGATGTGCCACTTAATTTAACACCTGTTTTTTGTGAATAATCCTCTTCACCGAATGAGTGCCTGAAATCTGTGGGTTTCCACCTTGGCAGAGCTGAAAGTTTCATGCACTGATTGCCTACAGCGTTTAAAATCAGACCAAAGAACATTGGATACTTCCTTCTCAAGATTGACTCCTATTGATATATTTCCTTCTGTTTTATTAATAACATTATTTTTGAAAACTCAATCAGTCTTTGAGAGGAAGTGGAGATCTATCTTGTACAAACCTGATGTTGTTGGCCTTGTGCAAAGTATGTGTAGGCAATCAGCAAACTGGTCAGCTGTTTTCTGTGCCTCCCACCAAGTTCCCTAAGAGAAAATAGACGTCTATAGATTTCGATAGATCGTCTAATGCCCGTCTAGCTGGTCTAAGTTTTTAGACGACTTGACGTAGATGACCAAAAGAGGTCTAGTAGACATCTTTTCACATCTACGACTAGGTTTCGTCGAGAAACAGACGACCCGAGACCCGAAACGATCTATTTATTGTCTAACCTGTCTATGTACTTAGACGTCTAGCGCTAGACAAAGTGTAGACGTGTCTAGATGATCTATTCCCTATCTTCTCTATCTACGACCTTAGACGTCAAGCACTAGACACAGTGTAGACGTGTCGAGATGATCTTACTCTCATCCATCCCATCAACAACCTTAGACGTCTAGCGATAGACGACTTTTAGACGTGTCGAGACGATCTAACTCCAATCTAACCCATCTATGACCTTAGACGTTCAAGCTTTAGGATTTTTAACGCAGCAGGGTATGAAATTTT